TATGGTCTAGGCTAGAAAGCCAGAAACATGTTCAGAAGACATGGATTCAGGTTTTGTTTCTGATATACACTGGCTGTGTGACCCTCAGCAAGTCACTTACCCTCTAATTGTTCCAGGCATTTTTCTAAGACTTTAAACTGTAGTACGGTTTTATATACTCATTGGTGGAGGGAATTTTATCAGCTGAAAGTCTTTATAACAATAAAGTCATTGGTCTAGACCCCCCAAAAAAATCATATAGGTTTATACAGCAGACTAATGAGAGAGGAAGAGCAGCCTCTCAATTCATCTAATAAATCACAGAATTGGAAAGCTGAAAGAGACTAATCTCCATTATAACATGTCTAGAAGTGGTTGTCCAGTCTCTGCCTAAAGACCTCCAAGTATGGGGAACCCATCTCTTGATGCAGCTCATGCCACTTATGGAAAACTCTAATTGCTGGGAAGTTGACATCAAGCCTAACCTGACTTCTTTGAAATTTCCATTCATTACTCCTGTTTCTACTGTCTGGCCTCAAACAAAACAAGTTTAATCCCTTTTCCACATGACAGCCTTTGAGATGCTTGAAGACAGTTAGACTGTCCCCCTGGGGCTTTCTCTTCTCTAAGCTAAACATGCTCAGTTCTTTCAACCAGTTTTCATATGACATTATCTCAAGGTCCTTCATCATCTTGGTTGTCTTCCATAGAGATACTCTCCAGTTTATCAATGTCCTTATTAAATTATGTGCCCAGAAGTGAACACAATATTCCAAAAGAGGTCTGATGAGGGAAGAGTACAATGGGATTCTGCCCTTACCTTCCTGAAAGCTATAATTTTCTTAAAGCTACCAAGTTTCTTTGGCTGCCACATTATACTGCTGATTCATATTGAAATTGTCCATTAAATACCCCCCCCCATTTCCTTTACAGAGCAAGTGTTTTCTAACCAGGCTTCCTCCATCTTATACTTGTGAAGCTGATTTTTTTTGTACCCAAGTGTTAAGACTTACATTCATATTCCTATTAAATTTCATTTTTTTTAAATTCAGTCCAATGTTCTAGCAGCCTATCAAGACCCTTTTGGATACTAAGTACAATACAATAGAATACAATGTTCCATCCCTATGGACACACACAGAGTTCTATGTATTTTATTTTATTTATTTTGGAAGCAATCAAGGTTAAGTAACTTGTCCAGGGTCACACATCTAGTATGTGGCTGAGGACAGATTTGAACTCCATTCTTCCTGACTCCGGGGCTGGTGCTCTATCCACTGCATCACCTAGCTGTCTGGATCCTAAATTTATCATTTCATAGGCTATCTGGCTCTTTCAGCTTTGTGTCCTCAATAAATTTGATAAGCATGTCTATGCCTTTACCCAAGTCATTGATAAAAATGTTAAATAGCCCAAGACCAATCACGTATCCCTGAGGTTCTCCACTAGAGACATCCTACATCGTTGAACTATTAACAAATACTCTTTGAAACTGGACATTCACCCAGTTCTAAATCCATCTGATGACATTATCATCTACTCTATATCTCCCCATCTCCTGCACAAAGACAGAATAAGATTTTTATCTAAAGCTTTGCTAAAATCTAAGTAAGCTATATCTATAGCATGCTTATCATCTACCAGCTTAAGTAACTCTGTCAAAAAAGTAACTGAGGGGGGCAGCTTGGTGGCACTGTGGATAGAGCATCGTCCCTGGAGTCAGGAGGACTTCAATTCAAATCCAGCCTCAGACACATAACACTCGTTAGTGGGCAACCCCAATAGCTTCGCCAAAAAAAAAAAAAGCAGGAAATGAGGTTAGGCTGGCATGACCTGATCTTGATGAAACCAAGCTGCCCTTTTGTAATCTCTTTTCCCTTTCTAGAATTTTCCTAGGAATCAAAGTTAATATTACTTGCCTATATTTGGCCAACTCTCTTCTCTTCCTTTTTTTTTAAACTAGGACTGTACATTTCTACAATCTTTTTGTATCTCTCTAATTTTTCTTGATCTTTCAAATACGTCTGATAGTAGTTTTTTCCAGTTTTTCCGATACAAAAAAGAAATTCATTCATTTGGGTCAGATAACTTACATGTGGGTCATATCCCACAGTCAATTCAACAAGTATTTATTAAGTTTGAAGGAACACGCTATGCAATGGAGATACAAAGACAAAAACCTTTCCAGGCACTTGCTACTAGGAGAGGAGTAAGACATATACACAGGTAAGCAAACACAAAATACACACAAAAGCAATATGAAGTAATTTCAACAGGGAGAGAGTCTCTTATAGGAGACAGTACCTGAGCTGTGCTTAGAAGAAAGCTAGGAATGTGATAAGGCAGAGAGGAGAAAGAATTACATTACATACATATGTCTCTATAAAAGCATATGGACACATGGGGATGGGATGTTCTGTGTGGTGAACCGCTAATGGGCCAATGTGATTGAAATAGAGAATGTTCATAGGGGAGCAACATAAAGGAAGACCAGAGAAAGAAATGGGACTCAGATTGTAAAGAAGCAATAGGGAGCCACTGAATTTTTTTTCTAGTAGGGCAGTGACATAGTTAAGATTTATGTCTTAGAAATGTCAATTTATAGCAACTGTGTGGCAGGTAGCCTGGAAAAGGGGGGAAATTTAAACATCTTTACATCTCAAACAGAAAATTTTTCCTTCTTAGCTATAATTTGGGTTGAACAGTTGAGCTAAAAATATATTAAAATCAGTCTGTATGAATGAAACAGCATCATAACTTTGGTCTACCTCAAACTTGGACAACAGTCATTACTAAAAAGGAAAAGGTCCTATGACAGACCTCTGATTCCACTGTCCTAGATTCTCTCTATTTGCAAAATGTGAAAAATGACGTAGAGGGGCCTGAATATATGTGGTATGCCCCAGCAAGTTAGGGTCTGGCAGGAACCTTGAGTTTCCATTCTTCTGCTTAATTCCTGGTCATGAGAGCATTATGTCAGGAGGGCTGCTATGGATAGGACACAGCAACAGGGAATCATTTTATGTTTATTTTATGGAGCAAGATTGATGGCTTTAAGGAACCGCCCTGAGGAAGAAGTAGTCTGCCTGGAAATACTGGGCCCAAGTGGAAACAAGTACAGTTTCCTTATAGTCTGGGCTTGTGACTACATTACCTAGCCTTCCAGGGATGGTTTCTAAAAGTCAGGAGGTGAACAGGGGATATCATCGCTTTGAGATGTACATAGGACACTGCATGTAGTGCAATGCAAAATGTGCTGGACTAGCAGCCAAAGAGCTGAGTTCAAATCACTACTCTGTTATTTAAGATTAGGGATCATAGATTTAGAGCTGGAAGAGACTTTGAGTCCAATCCCTCCATTTTACACACAAGGATCATATGAAGAAGCAGCTAAGAGATAAAGTGGATAGAGCACCAGGCCTGGAGTCAGAAAGATTCATCTTTCTGAGTTCAAATATGGCTTCAGACACTTTCTAGCTGTGTGACCCTGGACAAGTCACTTAACCCTGTTTTCCTCAGGTCTTCATCAGTAAAATGATCTGGAGAAGGAAATGGCAAACCATTCCAGTATTTTTGCCAAGAAAACCCCAAATGGGGGTCACAAAGAGTGGGACAAGATTGAAATGACTGAACAACAAAAACAGAGAGGTGGTGAGCTTCCTATGGGCATGCAAACAATAGAGGCAGAGCTTACATAACCTCCAAGGCCCCTCCAGCTTTAAATCTATGATCAAATGGCTCTACAAAAATAGAAAAAAAATCAGCAACAATCTAGTACTAGAGACCAATGAACAAAGATTAAAAAAAAACATTAACAACCATCTCTTCAAACAGTTCTTCAAGTTTTCCAGGGCATTTTGCTAACTTAACATAGCAATAGTGCAGAGGAAAGGACACTGGCCTTGGAATCAGAAGATCTGAATTCTAGTTCTAGTTCCCCAACCCCCTTGAAGTTATTTGCTTGTCCTTCTTGGCTTCTTCAACTATAAAACTGTATCCTCAGTACTTAGTCACTGGCTGAAGAGGTGTGTGGGGGAAGAGGAAAACAATATCTTGTCTCAAAAGTCCAGGGACCAAGGGAATAACATATGTGGACTTGCTTTATGATATATATGCAAATACCATCTTCTCTTTCCCCTATAATTTTATAGACCTTCCATCTAATTTCTGTCCTTTTCATTCTAGCCCTTATCTTCAGCCTTCTCTCATTAACTTCTCTCTATACCCATTCTCTCCATTGCCAGTCTTTTCTCTCCTCCCACCGTCCACCTCCTGGCAACTTGCTCCCCAAAGTAGTTTGGGGGATTGTGCCTCTTTCCAGACCCATCTATATTTTAAAAGACCTAAAGAAGCTAATTAGCTGATGAAAATTTAGATTATAGGAAAATAGATTTCAAGCTAGAAGGGATGGATCTTAGAGGCCCAGAGAGCTTTTGACTTGCCCAAGATCACACTGCTTATAAATAGCAGAGCCCTGTTTTGAACACAGGTCCTCTGACTCCAAATCCAGCTCTAAATAATTTAGATTTATATAGTGCTTACTCTCAATCCGGCCATCTTTGCACTCTACCCCTCTGTCTTTAATAATAACGGAAATCAACGTGTGCGGCCAGCTGGGAAGAAATGTAAACCTCTCACTGTCCTCAAATGAAGCCAAAGCCCAAATTCGTGCAGAAGAGTTTAATGTAGGTTATTTCTGTGACTGAGACTTCCATTCGTTTTAGCATAATTTACTCCCTTTCTTCCTCCTTGGATCCCCGAATATACCCTTTCCCTCCCCTCTCTTCTCAAAGTCCCCTGACCAAAGTACCAAAATCGCAAAGGGCAGGCTTTAGAATGGAAAGCTTCAGAGAGGGTGTAAATTTTATGTTTTTGCTTTTCACAATGAGACAGGAATTTCTGGCATGAGATAGGAGGCTCTCTCAAGCCCTAGTCCGTTCCAATGTCCAAAAGGTGGATGCAGGTCAGATACGCCGAACAGGTAGCGAAGGAAAGAAACAGGTCTTGGAATTGGTTCTTACCTGCGCTCCTTGGCACGCCGAGGAGCCAGGAGCTGGCTGGGTCAATGGAGGAGGAGGCGGAGTAGCGCAGCGTCCGGTCGTCTCGGTCCCTCGGAGGTTCGGAGGAGGAGGAGGGGGAAGAGGAGGTGGCGGCATACACTACGCGCTCCCGCTGTCTAGATGAGCGCACCCTGCCCGAGCTGAGCTGCTGCGGGACGTGGGCGCTACTGGAAGCTACCGGCGCTGGAAGGAGATGGAGAAGCCTCTCTTTATCTCCCTGCGCCCCTGCTTCCCTGCGGCCCCGGGGGCTTCCTTGGCTCTCCTGGGAGGCCAAAGCGAGAATGAAAAGGAAGAGGGTAGGCAGCTTGGGCCACTCGCTAACTGCCCGCATCTTCCGTGCGTCTGAAGAGAAAGAAGTAAGGAGAAAAAGAAAGAAAACAGCAACATTTAGATCCTCCCGGTGTTATGCCCAGCACGTGTCTGAGGCGAATTCCTAACCTTGACTGGGAAGGAAGAGACTCAGATGCCTTGGGAAAGAAACTCGGCAAAGAAAAAGAATGTTGAAGGCGGAGGGAGAGCGGTTAAAAACAAAACAAAAAAAAAAGTTGGGGTATTGTTTAGGACTAGAAAGTAGTCTTTCTATAACTTTCTATATATCTCTGGCCCCCCAGAGCCTTACTACTCGTTTATCCTCTCGGATCTCTTCTCTCCCTCCCCCCCCCCGCCCGGAGGGGAGGGCATTGGCGCTGCTTTGCTGTCCCGGAAAAGTACCCCTACCCGGTCCATCATCCCCTGTCTCAGTCCTTGCAGCTCAAATTCCCGAAAAGCGGTGCATTGGGAAGCGGGCAGAAGCCCAAGAGGCGCTCAAGAAGATGGAGAACTTTTCCAGAGGTGGGCGGGAGGGGAGGGAGAGGGGAGAGGAGAGAGAAAAGATAGGTTTATCCCGATTGCCCAGCAAGCTATGTCTGATCTGACACAAATCAACTTCAGAATCTCAAGAAAAGAAGCCTCTCGTGGGCAATTTGTGAAGTTCTACCTAGTGCCATTTGGGCATGTGGGAGATGAACCATAGGCCAGACTGGCCAGAGAGCCACGCGCTTAACATTTTCTGGTACTCGTATGTCACTAGCGCACAATTACTCTAGAGATTCCCCTATAAGTACTATGAGAGGAAAGTGGTGAAAAGGGGAGAGGAATTAGGGGACTTCGGAGGACTTTTCTATCCTCTGGCAAACCTGAGGGGATAGAAAAGCCTGCCACCTCCATGCTCAGGCTGCTTTTACTGGGGTCATCTCTACTTTAGCAAACAAAGAAACTTCCTTTCTTCCTTCTTTCCTTCGTTCCATTCTTACCTTCCTTCTTTCCTTTCTTGTTAACTCCCTCCCTTCCTTTCTAAATAAAGTAAGTAAGAAACTAACTAAATAAATAAATAGCCAGGTCTGTTTTAAATTTCATTCACCCTCAATAAAGGGGATGTGTAGAACACAACTTTTCAGAGGAAAAAAAATGATAATTTCATTCTTAAGACAACATTTTAAATGCAAACCTTTCCTTGACTATGATTTCGCATCCTTTCAGGAAATTCCCTCCTCCTTCCCTCTACTTCCTGAGAGCTAATCTCTGAAGAATAATATTGTTTCATTCTTTCCCTGGTTACTAAAACCAGCAACAACTTGGCCTGGGCAAAAGTTTTACCACCCAAGAAACTACCCTTCTTCTGGATACTAAAGAGAGTAACTTCCCAGTTAGAGTAAAGGGGAAGGAATGCCTTTCTTTGAGATGCTTTTTGTAGTATGGGGAGTTTACCTTATGCGATGAATAAATCCTTCTTCACTAGCAAAATGCAAATGCTTTGTCTTCTCTTGCCCTTTAGTTCTTGCTTATGGCAGTGGACTCCCTCTGATTGGAGCAAGTGTGTCTCTCACACCCGCTCAGGAGAGAGTGAGTGAGTGCCCCTCTGGCGTCCACTCCTTTGTTTTATATGAGCGTGTTCAATTGAGCACTAGTAGGCTTTGGGTGGGTGGCAAATGCTGAGGACATTTTAGGTAATCTTTTCTTCAGTTATCCTGGCTATTCATGTCAAACTTGTATTGCTTTCTTTTCCCCTCTGTGGGCTGCACTAAGGGGAAGAGTCATCGACTAGAGTGCCTCAGATCTCTTTGTGAAATCTAATTTCCTTGTAAATTGGTAATGCTTACCCAAAAACTCAAAGGATGGCAGTATTTTTAAACTTCAAAAAAATCCCTATTCAAAACTTATAAGTGCTACCAGAAAAAAAATGAGATGAAATTCTCTAGTTCTAAGTAAAATGAGTGTAAAAGACAATTATAAGTAAATATTGTTGTATCAGATAATTATAGTATTTTTTGTTATTGGTTATGAGTGGAGTATATATTTTTAGTTTTGTATTTAACTGAAGAGACAATTGTGGGTGTAGGTTTGAAGCAAGGATCTGGATTCAAATTCAGCCTCTTACACTCATTAGTTCTGAGACTCTGGGCAAGTGTGTTAATGTGCCTCCAAAACTCCTTCAGGTTTGGTAACCAAACTACTTTCATATTATAGCCTCCTATCCTTTTACCTACCCTATTCCTTCATTGATACTAAATTGATTTTTTGCCCTTATTGTGATCCTTGTTCCCTTGATCCATCTCAATTCTCCCAGTTCATTTTCTCCAATTTGCCTTCATTTGCCTTCATATTTAATCTTGACTTCCTATCTCATGCTACATGGCAACTACCTTTTCTTCTACCATCTCACTCCCACTTTGCATGTACAGAAAATCTAATTCCCTTCACTGAGATGGCTGAAACCAACCAATATGAGGTCCCCTAGCTCCACTTCTGCATTCCTGAATTTCTTAACTTTGATATCAATCCCTACTCCTTACTAAGAATAGTCTTTCTACTTGTGACTTTCAGCCCATTCTTACTATATCCTATAGGATTTCATCCCAGAAGCCATCTCATCTCTTATGTTAGGAAATTAAAATTTAGAACTCTTTTTTCTGTATCTCCTGCATCTAGCACAGTGCCTTAGAAATAGTAGTCACTTAATAAATGTTTATTATACTGTATTGTATTGAACTGTACTAGATGACATTGAGCACATCTTCAGTATATCTTTCTCCTCATGAGTTCCTTCTGATTTCTCTACTCCCCAACCCTAAAAACAAAACAAACAAAAAACCCAAACACTTCTCTTCAGTTCCATCCTTCTACTTTTTTTCCCCTTTCTCCACTACTAAGTTTCCTGGGAAAAGTTACCAACACCAGACATCTATACTTCTTCACCATCCACTTTGCTATTTGGTTTTCCCCATCATTGATACTACCAACAATACTGGCTTGACACTACTCTCTTAAAAGTCACCAGTGACATCCTAATCACCAAAGCCAATGGTTCGTTTTTACTTTTTGTTTTCTTTAACACTTTTCAGCTTTTGATAGTGTTGATCCGCCTTTCTGCTGGACAACCTTTTCCTTTGGTTTTAAAAACACTGAATTCTCTTGGTTTGCTACTATCTCCTGCTTTTCTGTTGCCCTTCTCTATCTCCTTCACTTTGTCTTACTTCTTCCCAATGTGGGTATTCTCCAAATTTCCATTCTTGGCCCTCTTTTCTCTCTACCTTTTCTCAAATGGCAATCTTGTTCATTCCCATAACTTCATGTACTATCTCTATATAAATAATTCCCAAAATCTAGATCTGCAGTCCCAGTCTCTCCTATAAATTATACACCCATATCAGCAACTCTCTACCAGATATATCCCACATGTTCCTCTACTGATTACCTCAAATTCAACATTTTCAAAACCAAACATCATCTTTTGCTTCAAGCTTGGCTGTATTTCTGACTTCACTATTTATGTCTGTGGCACCATCATACACACCATCCTCTGTATTTCTAATCTTGATTTGCCTTTGAATGTTCCTTTTTCTCACCTCTCACTTCCAGTCAGTTGCCATATCCTATCAATTCCACCTTCATAAACTCCTTTATGCCATCAACTCCTTCCTAGTCTCCCAACAGCTACACTAGTACGTTACTCCCCACATTACTCCCCAAATACATTATGATAAATTCTTAATGGACAGTTTTATTTACTTAAAGAAGTTCAAAAGATCTTTCATAAACAAGTAGATAAAATGAGAAGAAAAGTGAGAAATGGGAGGGAGGAAATTTTTACAAGAAATTTCTCTGAAAAAAGTCTCATTTCTTTTTTTTCAGTCTTTTTTTTTGTTTTTGTTTTATTTTTTAATAGTTTATTTCCCTCAATTACATGTGAAAACAGTTTTTATTATTTGGTGTTTTCTTTTAATTTTGAATTCCAAATTCTATTCCTACTTCTTTCCCCTTCCTCCTCCCTGAGGTGGTAAGCAAATCTGATATAGGTTATATTGCACAATTATGTAAAACATTTCCATATTAGTCATTTTGTGGAAGAAAACTCAAACAAAACAAAAAAGAGAGAGAGAGAGAGAAAGAAAATGAAAAATAGTATGCTTTAGTCTGTATTCAGATGCCATCAGTTCTTTCACTGGAGGCTAATAGCAGTTTTCAACATGAGTCCTTTGGTATTGTCTTGCATCATCATATTGCTGAGAATAACTAAGTTATTCACAGTTGTTCATCATCCATTATTACTGTTACTGTGTACGATGTTCTTCTGGCTTTGTTTACTTCACTCTATATCAGTTCATGTAGGTCTTTCCAGGTTTTCTGAAATGATCCTCCTTGTTATTTCTTATAGCACGATAATATCCCATTATAATAATACACTACAACTAGTTCAGCCATTCTCCAATTGATGGGCTTCCCCTCAATTTCCAATTCTTAGCCACTACAAAAAGAGCTGCCAGAAATAGCTTTATACAAATAGGTTCTTTTCAAAAGGTCTTATTTGTAATCCTGGATATAATTATATATAGCTACATCTATGTATATGTGTATATACATGATCTATATACATATATATATATGGAGAGAGCTTTAAATCTAGATCTATGGAACTGATTCAAATTTTATAAGAATAAGAACCATTCCACAATTGATAAATGGTCGGAAGATATGAAAAAGATAATTTTAAGGGGAAGAAATCTAGCCATATGAAAATTGCTCTAAATTACTAATGATTACAAAAAGCAAATCAAAACAACACTGAGGTACCACCTCATACCCATCAGATTGCCAACTGACAAAAAAAAATGAAAATGAAAATAACAAATGCTGGAGAGGCTGTGGGAAAACAGGAACAATAATGCACTGGTCATGGAGCTGTGAATTGGTCCAGCCACCTGGGAAGCAATTTGGAACTGTGCCCAAAAAGCTATTAAACTGTTCATACCCTCCGCTCCGGTGAGACTGTTACTTGTTTTATATCCCAATGAGATCAAAGAAAG